GAGAGAGAGAAGAGGAACGGGCGCTTTGGATAGTCCTTAAAAAAATAAAAAACTAAATTTTATTTGGAGCTCAAATAAATTTGAGTCTTGTTTGGAGCAAAAAAAAATATATATAAAAAAATTATCAAAACATATTATTATTGATTTTTATTTTTTATTATTTTTTGTTGTTAATAAATTATTAAAAAAAATTAATAATAATAGACCGCTTATAAATACCATTTAATGAATATGAACTTATCAAACTGCGCAACTGTTTTGACAGCCACAATCATAAATTTTGCCGAACATAACAAATTGACAGTGATGTTTTGATTGCACTTCTTTATTGGCAATAAACTTGAGATCCGCATATTGGCATATTTTACAAAAAAAAAAAAAAAAATAAAAAAAAATAAAATAAAAAAAAATAAAAAATAAATAAATAAAATTTATGATAAATAAAAGCTAAGAAAACTTTGAATGCGAATAACAAGATGTTCAGATCTATTTTTATGTGACCACTACCGTAGCATTTAATAGCCGCTATTATTACTATTATTTCATGGCTATATAATATTTTGACTGCGTATTAAAAATCTGAGGTTGCTCTTGATATCTTAAAAATGAATTTTAAGAACCTCAATTTATTTTGAGTACTCTAATTATTATTAAAAAAACCAAAACGCTAATTGAAAATATTAAACTGTATTTTAAATTGCAGATGATGACAATAACACTTAACTAGAGTACTCTCTGCACTTGAATTATTTTTTATGACCCCCAAAATAATTCCTAAAAACATAAAAAATATTTCTTTTAAAGAAGAGGTTATTGTGGAGGAGGCCTTGTCTTGAGAATAAAAAAATATATATTTTTTTCTGATTTTTGTTTTTAAAGAACTCAAACCGATACTAATTTGAATATTTTCATTTTTCTAAATCATAATTTTCCCAGGCCATCATTTTTTTGGTTTTGTTCTTAAACAAATAGTTAATTGCCAATCATGAACAAGTGTGCATCACACAATGGCTGCATCATTTAATGCTTTATTTCTTGAAGATAAAGTCAGCAACCTCGCTTAACAATGGCACGATAAAGCAAGCAAAGAAGAACAACACGAAAAGTAAGGCGTGTTTTTTTTTTTAAAGAACCACTACCACAAAGTTCAGATTACACCAAAAAGCCCTTGAATTTGAGATGAAACGCTAACCCAGTGATTTGCGTATTTCCTAGTCGTGAGGTTCGTGTTTTTTTTTTTGTTTTTGGTAGGAAGCGGAATTCTTAGCAGATACTCTTGATTTGTCTAAGGGCTTGTGGTTTATTAGAATTTTCTGAGAATTGGACCAAAGTGTTCACACATCATCGTAAATTTATTTTTTTAAAGGAAAACTTTTTTTATATTTTTTGGGTCTAATTACAGGCGTGGATATTTTTAAAAATATTTTTTAGGGTCGGAAAACAGGCGTGGGGTTTTTTTACAAATATTTTTTAGGGTCGGAAAACAGGCGTGGGGTTTTTTTACAAATATTTTTTGAATAACCAGACAAGCCGTGTATTTTTATACCCTACACAACTATGTTGTCCGGGTATTATAGCTTTATGCAGCCCCAAGAGTTTGTTACGCTGCGAAATATTGGTCCTAGACCCACCTTTAGGAACACCGATCGTCATATCTCGACTAGCTGAGTAGATCTAGATATGTGTGTCCTTCCGTCCGTCTGTCCATTATAATTTGTAAACACGATTCAGGCCACAGTTATGGATCAATCTTCACGAAATTTTGCATGTAGGATGGATTCTGGCCAGTGAAGATATTGTTTTTGAAAAAGATCGGTCAATATTTAGGGGATGAAATGGACCAAATACTTAATTATTGTCAGTTTTTCTGGTCGCTTCAGAGGCCCCAATTGTGGCTCAAATATCGGGACCAAGTTTTGAAAAAGATCGGTTAATATTTAGGGGATGAAATGGACTAAAAACTTTTTTTGTCTGATTTTCTGGTCGCTCCAAAGGCCTCAATTGTGGCTCAAATATCGGGAAATTTTACACGGAGAAGGGGATCGGGCTAAAGAATAAGCACTCATATTTTGATAAAGATCGATCAATATGTAGCGGGTCAAATGGACTTTGACTTTTGTGTGAAAAATGACAAAATTTTTATGGCGTATATATTTAACTCTGAATGACATATATTATATCCAAGAGGAGTGGTTGATCTTTAAATTGATACCAATTATATGTTCGTATGCGCTCGGATGTGGGAGTTACACATAAATATTTACAGGCATCTCCATATTCATATATCATTTAGTAACCCATTACCACATTGCAGGGCGGAAACATAGCGCTAATCGCTTTGAAATTTTCCATGAGGTTCTAGTTATGGTCAAGGACAATGCCTTTAATTTTCGCTGATGATCAGATAATAATTTTGGAATGAAGTAAACCGAAACTTTATTTTTTTTTGTTATTTTCGAGTCGATCTATAGGCCACAATCGAAAGCTGAACATCACAACACCACACACGGTGAAGGGAATCTGGACAAGTAATTAGAGGGGCGGCTGTACTGAATATTAGTAATATTCGGAAAATATGTCAGGTTGAGGAAGAGGTGCTGTATTGACCTCTAATCGGACAAGAGGGTGCAACTATCTGAAACGAACCCTTTTAACGAAACATAGCACACATCATTTTGTACCTAGTTCAGTACCCTATACCAAATTTCGTGCACATAGAACGATATATATGGACATTAGTGCACCATTTACCTTAAATCGGACGAAAATATATATGGTAGCTATATATAAATCTGACCGGTTTTCAAGAAACTTGAAACACGTCATTCTGTACCTAATTCAGTACCCCATGCCAATTTTCGTGCAAATCGAAATATATATAGGGACTTTGGTGCCTCATTTACCTTAAATCGGACGAAAATATATTTGGGAGCTATATCTAACTCTGACCCGATTTTTTTGAAACTTGACGCACGTTATTCTAGACTCAATTCAGTACACTATGCAAAATTTCGTGCAAATGAAAATATATATAAGGACTTCGGTGCACCATTTACATAAAATCGGACGAAAATATATATGGGGGCAATATCTAAATCTGAACCGATTTTCACGAAATTTAACACACATCGTTCTAGACTTAATTCAGTACCCTATACCAAATTTCGTGCACCTAGAACGATATATAGGAACTTTGGAGACCCACTTACCTTAAATCGGACGAAACTATATACGGGAGCTATATCTAAATCTGGACCGCTTTTCACGAAACTTGGCAAACATCATTCTAGGCTTAATTCACTACTCTGTGCCAAATTTCGCGCAAATCGAAAAATATATAGGGACTTTGGAGCCTCATTTACCTTAATTCGGACGAAGAAATATATGAGAGCTATACATAAATCTGATCCGATTCTCTCGAAACTTGGCACTCATCACTCTAGACTTAATTTAATACGCCATGCCAAATTTCATGCAAATCGCGAGATATATAGGACTTTGGTGCCCCCTTTACCTTAAATCGGACGAAAAACTATATGAGAGCTATACATAAATCTGACCCGATTCTCCCGAAACTTGGCACATATCACTCTAGACTTAATTTAATACGCCATGCAAAATTTCATGCAAATCGAACGATATATAGGGACTTTGGTGCCCCTTTTACCTTAAATCGGACGAAACAATATACGGGAGCTATATCAAAATCTGAACCGATTTTCTTCATTTTCAATAGGGTTCGTCCTTGGGCCAAATAAGTGACTTGTGCCAAATTTCATCCAAATCGAATCTTAAATGCTACCTGTACTTTGTTTACAATTTAACATGGACAGACGGACATGCGTAAATCGACTCAAAAAGTGATTCTATGGATATTCTCAAAAGGAACCATGTGTCTATCTCGTTTCTTTTTGCCTGTTACAAACATATACACAAAGACATAATACCCTGTACCACAGTGTAGTGAAGGGTATAAACATCCACGCCTTGTATAGACCTCGAAAAAATTATTTTAAAAAATCCACGCCTTATTCTAGGCCTTGACAAAATTGTATATACCTAGAAAAATTATTTTTAAAAAAATCCAAAACTTGTATATACCTCGAAAAAATTATTTAAAAAATTCACACCATATAATAGTCATGAAAACATATTTTTAAAATAAAAATCTAAGCCTTATTTTAGTCCTCGAAAAAAAAATATTTTTAAAAAATCCGTGCCTTATTTAGATCTTTTTTATTAAATGATACCACAATTTATTTACTTTGTTTTATACAAAAATGCATTTTATTTATTTATACATCAACATTTTTTTACATGATTTTTTTTTTATAAATGAGTTTGCTATGATTTTTAAAAAAATATATTTCAATTTTTTTTATTTATATATAAAATAATGAGTATTATTATAAAATTAAGTTTATATTTAATGGGGTATGATTGTATGTATGTGTGTGTGATTGATTGAAAAAATCATTGAGTATATATGTATATGTGGGAAATTATGTTTGTTTGTGTGTGTGTCATTGCTTGTGTGAGTAAGCAATCGATTTGAAATATACAATAGAGAACAATGAAAGCACTTAACGAAACAACGGTGATAATACGATAACAAAAAAAAAATTAATAAAAATTATACACAACAAAAAAGCTTTTGTAGGTCATTGAGAATTTTCTATGTTGGAGATTTTCTTCTTCTTTTTTTTTTGAACAATGACCTACGAAAGCTTTATGGCAAGTTGGCGTTGCTGTTTTCATTTCAAGGCAGGCTTAAGGCTAAGGTTTTTTTTGGGAGAGAGAGAGAGAAATGTGGCTTCCAGGAGTTGCTAGAATGAGAGAGCTTTTTTTTACATAAACGTGAAGGAGGTAGAGAAGCTTTAAAGCCTTGCTTGCAAATTGTTTGTTTTCTTAACGAACTAAATTATTTAACGACTAAAAATCATATGTGTCTCCTCTTCTTCTTCATTTTTTCTCAAACTGAGTTTTTTTTTGTTTTCTTTAAGCCTAGTTTGTTTCGAGTTTTTTTTGAGCCTTATTGATAACCACCAAATTTGCCTTGTTGTTGTTGTGCATTGCTATCGTAACCACCGTTATTGTAATTGCCACCACGTCCACCGGCACCCTGTTGACCACCATTGACCTGTTCATAACGAATCGAGGGACGATAACCATTTTGATCGGCTTCGTATTCCACGATTTGTTTACGACCATCGGGCAACAAAACATAGTAACGGCCAGTAGTGAAATCACCATCACGAGCCTCCATATGACCGAAATCATTGCCCGATTCATAATCTTGAACGTCATATTTGAATTCGTATTTGGCAGGACCGTAATTTTCTTCAGCACCACCATAACCGCCGGCATTTTGTCCATAACCTCCAGCAGCAGGAGCACCATAGGCAGATGAGGGAGCACCAGCACCTTGTTTGGGGAAAATGGCTGAGGTTAGAGCGGGAGCACCATAACTATTTGAGGGAGCAGCAACACCACCACCAGGGGCACCACCACCACGTTGAGGGGGCAAATAATTACTGTTGGGGGCCTGATACGAGTTCTGGGGTGGCAAGTAGTTGTTGGAGGGTTGTTGCTGTTGATTGGGTGGCAAATAGTTATTTGCTGGAGGTTCGGCAGAGACTACGGCAAGGCAGACCAAGAAAGCAATTGTGGTAAAGCACTGGAAAGAAAAAAATCGGGAAATTTGTGTGTTAAAAAATATTGTAATAATAAAAAATAAATAAATTCTAAAAAATAAAATTTTTTAAGGCTTGGATTTTTTTAAAATATTTTTTAGAGGCCAATAATAGGTTGTGGATTTTTTAAAAATATTTTTTAGAGGTCAATAATAGGTTGTGGATTTTTTTCAAAATATTTTTTTCGAAGCCTAAACAATGTCTGGATTTTTTCAAAAAAAAAAAAAAAAAAAGTTTTTTGATGTCCATTACAAGGCGTGGATGTTTTTAAAATAATTTTTAGAGGTCAATAATAGGTTGTGGATTTTTTAAAAATATTTTTTAGAGGTCAATAATAGGTTGTGGATTTTTTAAAAATATTTTTTAGAGGTCAATAATAGGTTGTGGATTTTTTCAAAATATTTTTTTCGAAGGTCGGGATTTTTTCAAAATATTTTTTTTGAGGTCCATTACAAGGCGTGGATTTTTTTAAAATATTTTTTTAGAGGTCAATAATAGGTTGTGGATTTTTTTAAAATATTTTTTTAGAGGTCAATAATAGGTTGTGGATTTTTTAAGAATATTTTTTTTGGAAGTCTAAACAAGGTCCGAATTTTTTCAAAATATTTTTTTTGAGGTCCATTACAAGGCGTGGATTTTTTTCAAAATATTTTTTTTCGAAGTCTAAACATATTTTTTCATGTCTAAACATCGTTGCTTTGAGTTTAACAAAAGACTTAAGAAACGAACATGTAATGGGTTCTCTTTTATTATATTGCCTTTATCATTCTCTCCTAAACAATTTCCCGTTTCACTACTCTGAGAGTGATGAGAGATGTTTTCTTATTGGAAATGATTGCTGAGATTGCTTCCATGTAAATAAAAGACTTAAGACACAAGCATCACACAAGCATTGCAGTATCACATTTTCTTCTCTCTCTCTCTCTCTCTCTCTCACTTTGTAGTCAAAGGGAGAAAGCAATGATAAAAAGACTTAAGACACGAACTTGATGTGTGGGGATACCAGTTTTTAAAATACAAAAGACTTAAGACACGAACATGAAATGGGTTCCCTTTTCTTATATTGCCTTTCTCATTCTCTCTAAAACAATGAAAGATGTATTCTTATTGGAAATGATTGCTGAGATTGTTTCCATGTAGATAAAAGACTTAAGACACAAGCATGGAGTAATTGCAGTATCACATTTTCATCTCTCTCTCTCTCTTTTTCTCTTACATTGTAGTCAAAGGGAGAAAGCAATGATAAAAAGACTTAAGCCACGAACTTGATGTGTGGGAATATCAGTTTTTAAAAGACTTAAGACACAAACTTGGGCAATTCGTATGGAAGGAAAAAATTATTCTGAAGGCATTTTAAATAAAAATATTAAATTATAGTAGTTATTAATTTTTTAAAATGAACAAATTGAATAATAAAAAATTAAAAAGAAAACAAATTAATAAAAAAAAAATTTTTATCTAATTTTTGAAATAAAAAAATTTTCATATTTTTTTTATAAAAAAAATTAAATTTATAATTTAAAAAATTTTTAAATTTAATTTTGTAATAAAACAATTGTACTTCATTTCTAAAGAAGAATCACAAGAAACCCTACTTTTTTGTAAATAAAATTATTAAAAAAAAAATTGAAAAAAAAAAATAAAATAAAAAAATATTTTCAAATGAAAAAAAAATTAACTTATAATTTAAAAAATGTTAAATCTAATTTTGTAATAAAACAGTTGTACTTCATTTCTAAAGAATATTCACAAGAAACCCTATATTTTTTTGTAAATACAATTATTTAAAAAATATTTTCGAAACAAAAATAAAATAAAAAAATGTTTTAAAATTTAGTTTAAAACAAAAAAAAAATATTTTTTTTAAATAATTTTATTTACAAAAAAAGTAGGGTTTCTTGTGATTTTTCGAAGTAACTTTTAAAATGTAAATTTGAAAATTGATAAATGCCCCTTTGCCAAATTGATTCACATTTAATTTTTGTATTTTTTTTACATTTATAATCCAATAAAAATGTTGTGATGACGAAATGATTTTTTTTCAAAATTTATTCAAAGCCATTCATTAATGTTTCACAGTTTAATCAGATCTATAATGTATAATTGATATAATTTTCGTTGCGGATGATTTCAAAGTTTATGTTAATAAAAAAACCAAAACAAATTAGTCAAATGTTTTGTTGCACAACAATGTAATAAAAATTATTGTCGTTTTTTTCAATCGACAAAGATTTGATGACATTATATTAACGTTTGTTTTTAACCGGCTCTTTTCGCATGTCAAATTGTTTTGCATTTGGTGTAATAGAATTGTTAAAATATTCATGATTTATATCATCAAGCAACGAAAATGCTGATACAAACAGATAACAACAACGACAAGAAAAATGTCAAAAGATTAAAATAAAAAAAAACTGGAAAAAATTATATATAACAATCATTCATTCACACACAGAAAAAAATCTTGAAAAAGAGGAAAAAATCTTCTAGACGGCACATGATTCACTTAATGTAAAGTTATTAGAGATAGGCAAAGCATAGCTGGCAAAACAGACAGGCGGCTGGACGGACAGACAAACAAGATTAAGATCTTAAGAAGCATGTTAATGCTTTGTAAACAATCTTTGTTTATTTTTATTTGTTGTAACTGTTGTTGTTGTTGTGGATGGTTGTCTCAACATCTTGGTGATTGATGTCTGCAGCATCTTTTTTTCTGTTTGTCAGACAAGCTGTTAGCACATTGTTAATCAATTCAACGGCAAACTGTTTATTATGCCTGGCGGATTTTTTTTGTGTAAAGAATTTTTTTGTTAGATGGTTGCTTGGATATATTTTTTTTTATCTAAATATGCTAATTAGAGATTGTCTGTTTTGACAGAATGCAGGGCAATTTTTTGTGATGCTGTTTTTGTTTTGTTGTTGTTGTTGTTGTAGTCTTTGTTGTAATTTTTGCTGTTTATAGTTAAAAGAGTAATTAGAGTAGATAATCAGAATTTTGGTTTTGGGAAAATGCCACAAAGAGCAATTATTTTTTTAATGGAAATTTGTTCTAATTGGAAAATATAAAACATAGTCAACATTTATGTAAAAAATTGGAAAAAAATATATTTTTTATTTTTTAAAAAAATTTTGAAACTTGAAAATTTATTTGATTTTTCCTAATATTATTTTTTTTAGAATACATTTTATTCAAAATTTAATTTTTTTTCATCAAAAAATTAATGTTTACCGTTCAAATTTAATTAAAAAATCAGAAAAAATATTCAAAAAATAATGTGATTTTTTTATAAAATTTTGGCCTTTGAAATTTTATTAGTTTTTTCCTAATTTTGAATTTTTAGAAAAAAAAGTGGAAAATATGTTAATTTTTTTAATTATTAATAATATTGATTTTTTTTTAATTTTTATCCTAAATATTTTGAAAGCTGAAATTTAATTTTTATTAATTTTTTTTAAATTTATATATTTTTTAAATTAATTATTATTATTTTTTTTGTAAAAATCATTATTATTTTGTGTCATTTTTGTAATTCATTTTTTATTATTTTATTAGATTTTTCCTAATTTTGAATTTTTAGAAAAAAAGTGGAAAATATGTTTATTTTTTAATTATAGATAATATTGATTTTTTTTTGAATTTTTATCCTAAATATTTTGAATGCTGAAATTTAATTTTTATTATTTTTTTTTTAATTTTTATCTTTTTTAAATTAATTATTATTATTTTTTTGTTAAATTAATTTCTATTTTTTGTCATTTTTTTAATTCATTTTTTTTCAAATATTTATTATTTTTTTATAAATTCGAAAATTTATTTTATTTATTTGTTTCTTTTATTTTTTTCTTTCTTTTTTTTTTTTTTTTTGAAAAACAATTTGAAACCATTTATTCATTGCCTCTTTGTCGGTGATTGTGCCTTTGTGTTGGTATGTGTTCTATAATATTTTTTTTTATGTTTAGCATGTTATTACAGTAATTATTTCTCAAAGGTGGTCTGTCTGGTGACTGTCAATAGTTTAGCTTTGGCTTTTAATTTTCTGACAATTTGAAAGTCGTTTTTTCGAAGACAAAAAAATATTTGTTTACAATGAAACTAATATACCTTGAGTATAAATAATAAAAATTCTTGAAAATTGTTGATAAAAAATATTTATAGTCAATTATTTGAAAGAACATTCCAGTACATAAACATTGATGATCAACATTTTTTATGTTATTTGAATTTAAAAATAATATTTATTTTTTATTTTATTTTTTGGAAATTATTTGAAAAAAAAATTATTATTTTTTTAGGCAAACTTTATTAACAATTTTTTTAACCGATTTTTTAATAAAAAATATTTGGTCGGAAAAGGTATCTTTCTACAAAAAAATAATATATGTTTATTTTTAATATTGCTATTTTTGAATAAAAAATATATTTCCAAAATGAAAAATAAAGCATTCATATTTTTCCAATTATTTTTTGTTTTTGTTTCAAAAATAAAGAATTTAAAAATTTTTATTTTTCGAATTATTTTTTTTTTAAATTTAGAAGACATAAATATATTCCCCAAAATTTTCCCCAGTTTGCTTAAATCATTCCATATTTAGAAATATTCATTTATTTATTACACATAAATGCTTCCGTCTCATTCCTCTTCTCATTAAAATCATTTATAGAGAATTTCTCTTTCATTTTTCCTCTCAAAAGTACTATTGCTTTGAAAACAATCAAAAGACTTAAGAAACAAACGTGAAATGGCAATATTTATTGCGCCTCTATTTCTACTTCTGTTCTAAATACTCAGAGAGTGTGTGATGATGAGAGAGAGAATATTATTTATTATCTTCAAAGAGAATTGGAAAACATAACGTTTCTAATTGGAGTGCAACATTATTTGCATTGGTAGAGATAAAATTCTCCCCCGTTATTGCAAAACAATGGTTGATATAAATTAAGAGACATAACCCTAAATTTTTGTCTCTTTTTTGTTTTATTTTA